AGTGTGGCATTGGGAGATTTATGTTTTGCAGCACTAAACATACCCATGAGTTCTTCAGAGTCAATATTATGAAGCCGTGCTGAAAGAGTCTGGTCCTTAAGTAGTTCATTTGATGTCATGTTGAATTGTCTCTGGTACTGCCTGTCAATGACAATAATGACAGCATTCAGACAACAACCTAATGCTTCTCCCATTTTATCAGTCTGTGGACAAAAGCCAACAATAGAATTAAAGATTGGATCATTAAGATCATTTCCAAAAAAATCTGACTTTCGTTGAATTAGAGCAAGCGGGTTCTTGATAATCTCAACAAGATGGTTGCGAACATTTTTTACTACTTGGATGCCAGATATGTAGTCGAGTCCTTGACCAGGCCCAACATAGAACTTAGTCATCAGGGACCTGTTAGTAGCTTACCAATTAACCCTAAGGCACACAATTCAAGGATACCTAAAAATAAATGTATTATTATTTAAATAAACCAAATAAAATTTCACATAATGATTTATTTATTAACTTTATTTAAAATCTAACCTGCTTCTGAAGTAAAGTCTTGATACAGACTATTTCTCAGACCACCACATAATGTCACACCAGAAAACAGGAATGTCTTTAATATAGTATAGTTATGGATCAAAATTCCACATGTATGAAATAAGACGTGTAATCTATTTCCTCTGTAGCGTGGTAACAGTCCCCTTGGCAACTTGTGTTTGTCCAAAAAGATAACAAAACCTTTTGGATCACCTTTAATCAAGAAAACTAAGTTATATATATAATATAGAAAGATAAGAAGAAAAACATGATAAATTAAGGCTTCTGTTACTTTGTTAGATATTTTTTAGAGTAAATGGTTAATTTACTTTTACCATCCTTGTAGCGTAGTTTGTTAAGCTGTATAACAATGTTTGCTGCAATACAATCCCTGCCAAACAGTTTCCCTTTAAAAGTTTCCAATACTTTAAGTGAAGACTTGCAAGCAGAGGTCATTGTATCCAATGGGTGAAGATGGCAATTTAGTTCATTTAACGATTTCTGCCACAAAGTATTTAACTTAGTGACAGTTGCATGGTTTGCTGCCACTCTGTCACTCATCGTATTACTTATATTAGCAATAATCTTACTTCGTATTTCAATATATTTTTGCTCGTAAAAATTACTATACAACTTAGCAAGGTGATCTACAGACTGTGTCATATGACTTTGATAATCATTAGCTGTACCCCCAGCAAGTTGGTCAACAGCCACAACCATGCATCTTGTTTTGGTTGTAAAATGGACAGCATTTACATGGACACCCTCTTGTCTAGTAGCATCAAAACCCAAGGTCAGATTTTTTGTTGCAATAGCTATTTCAGTAGTCTGCAGATCTGAAATAACTCCAAGCTCACGCATCATCTGCTCTACAGTTGTACGATGTGGAATTTCAGTAAACTGATAGCCAGTAAATTCTCCAATTTTATGGAGCAGTGATGGCACACTATGTGTAGGCACATTACAAACAAGCATGTCATATATTAATGCCCTAATATCAGTAGTGTAGACTTTTGCATATCTCGTATTCTGGACATTGTGCTGTGTTTGCTCAACTTCCTCCTTTAAAATTAGCAATTTGTTTTGAAGAATTTGAATCTCAGCATTTCTATCAGAAATTTGATTGTTCAAAATATTAACTTGATAAGTAAATTCTGTCTTGGACAATGCTATTTGCTTTTTCAATCTAAGATTTTTATTTTGAAGACATTTAAGTTGTATGCTAAAACTCTGTTCATTTAATTTATTTCGAAGCTGCATGATTGTCTTGTTTTTGCGAGCAATTGTTTGATTTAATTGTTTAAGTCTATATGGCCTTGACTTGAACTTTTCTTTTAACTCTGATAAAACTTTTTTATGCTTTTCGATTTTTGTAGAAAATTCGTTTTCCAACATAGTTAATCTTTGCTTGAGAATTTTTTTTCTTGGACTCAACTGGATACCTCTCAATCGAGACAGTAGTGGTTGTGATTCTCCGGGTGTTGAATAACCTGGAGAAGATAATAAAAAAGCACTTGATTCAGTGGAAACTATTGGCACAATTGTGTTTACATAAGACAAATCAGATGTAAGTACTGGAGGTGCTTCAATAGTTCTTATTTCATGTATCATACCAGTTGTGGTAGCTGACTTAAAAAAAACTTCAGAACAAATGTTTTGAAACTTTTCCATGTTCCTTAACAAGTTTTTCTTATATAGATTGATGCTATTAACTACACATTTGATGTGACTTTTAGAGGTTAGCAAGCCATATTTTTCACCCACTTTTTTTGCTGCTGTAGTTCTTGAACATTTATTTTGAAAGTATACAAGTAAAACATGTCCTTTAAGACATACCTGATATGAAAAAGGTAGTTCAAGATACTCTGATTTCAGATGATTCAACATTAAACATTTCTTTGACATTTTAAAAACTCTGGGTACAAGTGTAAAAATTTAATTATATTATTTAGAGCACTAAACTCTAAATAAATAAATTATATTTATTTAATATAAAGTGCAAAATAAATATAGTGAATAATTCACAAAATTTTATTGTAACATGTTTAATAATATTAATGCTGCATGTTTAACATGATACAATAACCCTTTTTGTGAGAGAGTTTTTGTAGACGTTTATAACTTATAGTATAAGTTATGAACGTCTACAAAAACTCTCCTTCAAGAATATACTATAAGTTATAAAATAACAAAGCAAATATAATATATAAATATTTATAATTCTATGCAGTACATAATATATATATATATATATATATATATATATATATATATATATATATATATATATATATATATATATATATATAATAAATGTAATATATTAAATAAACTATTACAATTATAATAATTTTAATAAAATATAATAACTATTGCAATAGTATATATACTATATATAGTATATATTGCTATATATAGCAAAAAATATATTTTAATCTTATTAATGAGTAAATAATGATGCAAATACTTGATAAAAATAATTTAATACTTTGAAAGAATAATCAAAAATACAACTAAAAGTATAACCAAAAAATTATATATCTTCAAAAGATTTAAAAAGGATTCTTTTTAAGAATCCACTAATGTCACTAGGTTGCTTATAGAAAAACAGCAAGTTAATAAATATACTTTTTGCACTAATCGGAATTTCAAAAAATATCACGTGACTACAAAATAAAAAAATGCGAACTCAGCGTAACAAGGCAAGAAATCCAGCATTTCATAGAAATACCTAGGGTGCTTGGGGAAACCCAAAACCAATGTGCGCTACGCCTGATTAATATAAAAATTGTACCAATATTAGACAAATAAATGATCTACAATACCTTAAAGTTTCATAAAGTACCTGCCATAATTTACAGAGCTGTGATTCTTAGAAAAAATGTGTTAACTTACGATGTAAAAATATATATGTTTTTTTTTGTTGTAAAGTATTCTAAAAATGTATCAAAATTTAGAAAAACCTTTTTTCTAATTAACTGCAAAATTTCAGAAAAATTGACTGATAATTAGCGGTACAGTGTCGTTTGCCCTAATACGTGTCTTGGCCAAATTACAAAAGTCGGGTCACAGATTTTAGCTCGCATTTTTACGGCAAATTACGAACTTACGCACGTACCTAATTTAATATGCAGTTGGCTAAGTTTTATGATTTTTTTTCCAGATAGTTAATATACACTGAATAGTTAAATCTTGTTATAGTAAGCCTAGACCTATATAGTAATTGAGATTATAACAGGTGGAAGCACTAAAAAGTCAAAAACTCTTAATATGATTTGGTCTATTTCCCCACAACTTTTTTGGCAATGTTCTCTGTTTAAGATTATAAATAATGCTGTGTATTTTAATAAAAACGTTTTCTAGCTTGCATTAATTTTACATTAATTTTTCTCATTTCTTTTTTAAGGTGCAAAAAAAATTGTTTGGAGAACTTTGGAGAGGCTAACTGTGTGGATATCTTTTCCAAATTTTATGATATAAAAAGCAAAGAAAAACAAGATTTTTATATTCAAGGATTAATAGATGTCACTAAAGTTAAAAGAAGAGTGCCACATCAAAAGGATCTTGAAAACCCGAAGCAGCCAAATAGCTTCTCCTATCATGTGATTGTAGGCAATGTACCCATAGAGATATGTTGCAGCATGGCCTACTTAAATTACACGGCCTGATTTGTTGCATTTTCCGTAAAAAATTAAGAGGCCAGTTTTTTTACACTCAAGTATAAAAACTTAGTTTTTGTTATGGTCTTGTTTGTACCATAATTGTTTTATTTTTATTTTATTAAAATGGTTTAATAATAGTAAGATTTTCTTTGAGTACTTACATTAATTTGTTGCTAGATTTTCTGTTAACTGATTGCCTGCTTCAGTTTATTCCAACAACACAGAATACTGAAATAGGCTTCCAGATAACTATATCAACCCATACCAACATGCTACTAAAAATAATCTCTCATGTTGCTTAGATTGCCTAAAACTCTCCATTGAGCAAAAAAAAGGTTCGTAGTTTTGTATTTTTTATAATTGAAATAAAAAGAAGAAATACATTTTTGCTAGAAATGTTTATTTTGTCTTTTTTGGAATTCTTTTACTTGATCTTTTTTAAATGAATATGTAATTTTTTTTTGCAAATTACTATAAAAAATATAATAATATTTTTTATATTAATTTGCAATACAATACGAGATCTATATTTGATTCCCATTTTTGGTGGTTTTTATTAGTAAAATTGAAACTGCTAGATCAAATCTTTAAAATTTGTTTCGCAAATTTTTAATTAAAAAAGAATGACTGCAATGTTTTATTAGAATAAGAGAAATAACATAAAATACTAAAAAGATGACAAATAAAATTAGACAGAGGTTGAATTGAGTATATAGGTTCTTCTCTTTATAAAGTAATGTTTATTGATCATAAGTTTAACATCAAAATCTTTTTGTTAATTTTTATCATTATTACTTGCTTTAGTATATATATTTGTGCTATCTTCAGAAAGCTGACAGTAGTATTTATGTAGACAACTAAACAATATCTTGCATAATATTTTTTAAGGATTATCAAAATTCTGGTAAATATTTTCTGGGAAAATCTGCCAAAATCTTTTTACTTACGCACATTTCTAAAAGGCTCACAAAAAGTCTACTATTGGGAAATTAACTATACTAATAAAACCTAGCTCCAAAGGATCTTTTTGTAAAATAACTATAAACAAATGTAAAGCCTTCTTCAAGGAAATCATGCATAAGAAATAGAATTGCGTGTAGTGTTGTAATTAGAGCACAAGAAGTTTGTTTGGTTAATGTCAGGTATTTATCAAATTTTATTTTGATCAAATTTCAGTACAATTTGCAATTTCTCTATAAAGTGTGAGTTTGTTATCACCTTTCAAAGCAGCATTGCTGAGTTTGATTAGATGAATTAGGTTTCTGCTTTAAATTAAGTATGATAAATAACTTATAAAACAATGATAATTGTCCTGCGTTATTTCTTTCATAAAAATAACTCTAACTTAGCAGTTGTAGCTGCAGTTGTTTTGTCAATTATTGTTGATGTTGACAACTTGTTTGTTGTTACCAAAATATGTGATTTGATAATTAATTTTTCTTGCTTTTTCTTGCTTGTTTAAAAGTGATCTTTTAATAAACTTTAAGAAATATATTCCCTGCAATGTAATCAGCAGTAACTTCAACAAGAAGAAAAAAACAAAAACCGAGTTTTTCAAATAACAAGTATATTTTAAACACTCCTTTTCTTAACTAAATGATAAATTAATAATTTTCCATCTCCAGTATATGCTTTATGAAACTATAAAAATGCATTAACATTTGTAAAATGGTTATCGGTAACAATAGTTCTTATCTTAAATTCAGATTGGTGCATTGAGGTAATACACTCATCAATTTCTTTTTTCAAACATAAACCTGTTATGTAAACTTTAGGTTATTATTTCAAAACATAAGAATAAATTTTTGAAGCCCTACAATCATAATAACAAAAACAAATTCTTTATAAAGATTGTTTTCTCAATCTTCATCAAAATGTTTACCACTTTGGGCTGCTTTTTGGAAGTACACCTTTCCCACAAGAAGCAAATAATCTCTTAATACCAAATTTTTGTCAATGATTTTTCTAACATATTATAGTTTTTCAATTTGTATTTTTTACCACTGCGAAACCATTTAAATAAAGAAGAATGATAACCATTTGAAAAAAATTAGAATTTTATTAACAACTATTGATTCCAAAACAGTTGGTATGCCTGATATTTCTTGGCTACTGTCAATAAATAGCCTGATTTGTTACATTTTAATTGCTGTATGTTTGAGACATGCAGCATAATAAAGTATTTACAATGCAAAACCTTGTTTTGCAGTGTAAATAATATACAGAAAAGTTTATGTTTTCTACTTAATAATTGCAATTATAATAAATACAAAATTACAAACCTTTAAAATTATTTCCAATGGAGAGTTGTGGGTAGTTTTAGCAATATGTAAGATTATTTTTAGTAGCATGTTAATATGTGTTGATATAGCTATCTGAAAGCCTATTTCAGTATTCTTTGTTATTGGAATAAACTGAAGCAAGCAATCAGTTAACAGAAAATCTAGCACAAAATAATTTAAGTAATCAAAGAAAATCTAACTAATATTAAACCATTTTAATAAAATAAAAATAAAACAATTATAGTGCAAACAAGACTCTTAACCATAACAAAATTTAAGTTTTTATACTTAAGCCGTAAAAAAACTGGCCTCTTAATTTTTTACGGAAAATGCAACAAATCAGGCCGTGTAATTTAAGTAGGCCATGGTTGCAGTGCACTTTTATCTGTCTTAAGTATTAGTGAAAAACGATTATGGAGAATAAGGAACCTTAAGTTTATTGGAATAAACCCTGAAGATAAAAGAGGTAGAGGTATTATTAATTGTCTTTCTCAGAATGTTCATGATATTGTTAGTAATCACATAAGATTTCCACTCAAGGAACCACATTACTCAGGGAAAAAAGTATATTACCTCAATGCAAGTTTAAATGTAAAAACAATGTGGCAACTTTTTTGTGAAAAAAATCCAGATTTAAAAGTGAGCAAGTCTTTTTACTGGAACCATTTTAAAACTAATTTTAACTTATGGTTTGGGCGCCAACAAGTGGATACTTGTTGCACATGTGAAGAATTGAATCTTAGATTAAAATCACCACATCTCAATAATGTAGCTAAAAGAGCAGCGCAGACTGATTTAGATGTTCATAAGCACACACTAGTCGACTATCTTACAGACAACTTATGAATCTTATAGGATCGCATATAATCTTATACTATCCTACAGGATATCTTACAGGATTTGTAAGATTTTATTTGTCTTTCAAATCCTATAGGACCATAAGAAATCCTGTGATTACCCATAGGGTATCTTAAAGGATTCGTAAGATTTTATTTGTCTTGCAAATCCTATAAGATCATAAG